AGTTTAACATGAATATCCCACTCAGACACAGTATACTGACTCCGAGCCGACAAGTCCTTGTTTTAGCCCCTTAATGCCGAGCGCCAGACAGGGTAACAACAAGTACCATCTTTTAACGTCTTTTGGTATGCCGCGGCCGGGGATCGAACCCCGGACCTTCCGCTCTCTGGGCGGACGCTCTACCACTAGACCACGGAGGCGGTAAAGCTACATGGAGAAGGGGCGAAATTTTGACTAGGCAGACAGGCCATCTACCTTACGTTTCAACATGTCCTTTGTAATTTTAACTGACCAAGGCCAAGCAGTTCAATCATCTCAACAGACCCATGAAGATTCCGGGATAGAATAGGTCTTCAGCAACCCATGCTTGCCGTAAAAGGTCACTATGCTTGTCATAAAAGGCAACTAACGGGATCGGGTGGTCAGGCTCGCTGACTTGGTTGATGCATGTCATTGATCCCAATTGCATGGATCGATGCTCATGATATTAATCACTGGATTGTCTGGTCCAGACTCGATTATTTACAGACTGCCGTCATATAGCTGGAATATTGCTGAGCGCAGCGTTAAACAACAAACAAACAAAAAACCAATCATCTCAACTCTGATCATTATGATTCTGTTTCTTACTGATTATTGTTACAGTGAAAATAAGATTTGTGACACATAGAAGAAGTTTTTACTAAATGGACTAAAACTGTTTTGGCAATTGTGATGAAAGCCATGATGGGTTTTACAGCAAATAAAATGGATGAAAGATAAAGTAACACAATTAAAATCAGATCTTTTTCTCTGATGCTTATACCCGAGAAAGGTATTTTCTCTCATGCTGTAGCATTTATTTTTTTTCGGGGGGGGGGGGGGGGGGGGTATGCATTTTGCCATGTTCTTTAGGACAGGTTATGTAAATAAGGGCTTAATATTCCTTCACCTATCAAATGTATTATGTATAATTCATCACCAGCATATGCCAACATACATGATTTAACAGCATGAAAATATGAGGCTTATATGACCCTTAATATTAAAAAATAACAAGGTACCATGCCAAGGATTATGGTAAAAATAAATTCTTTTTTCATTTCCAATCAACAACTATGGTACTAGTGTATTGTTAACAAGTACAACTGATGTAAACAATGATCAGGGAGACAATTAGATCAGACTAAATCATGTAAATCAAACAGACCTTTATACACCTTATCTGAACTCAAAGATAACTCACAATGACGAACGTCAATATTATGCTTAAGTCCTGTACTGAGCAGGTTATCTCCAAGTTGTTTTGTTATGTGACATGCAAGAGTATTCCTTGACCTGTCATATAAGCAGGCTATTCAAAAATGTAAAAACATAACATGCTTCGATGGTTATGAAAAGGCATGTGATCAACTATCTTATTGCAACACCGTTCATGTGACAGCCTACCCTGCCTTATCGTCTCAAACTGTTAAGTTGGATGATTATTTCAAAATTGATGTATAATTCATAAATGACATCATGCAACAAATAATTTATGATAACCAAAATACAATAACTTTCCAAAACAAATGCATCCTTTAAGCTGAAAATACGGACTTACAGTGCTTATCCGTAAACAGTATATCGTTTGTCCCTCCCACTTTTAGGTCTAAATTACACTGATAATGACGGGTTCCACATCGGCAGTTTACCGGCTACCGGCTTCTGCGCAGATCAAGCGAAGACGGAACTAACGTCTCTCAGATAACTAACTAAAATTATCAATACATTTATCCTGATTTAGATCTAAGATTCAATAGGTAATTATGACATAGGACACATCAGGTGACATGACATATTGTGGCAAGCGAAACCTGCCCACCTCATTTTCCTTGTGATTTCTTATGCCTCGTACAAGATCTTGCAAATTCTTGTCCAGGACCCGTTCTAGGGTCCCTTTCACTTTTTTGAGCGCCATCTTGAATTAGATTTGATGTGACAAAATCCTCATTTTGCTCAAGAATGTCACTGATTTATAAGTATCCATCCCTGATTAGGATGCATCGGCGATAAAGTCGACAGTCTCATCCAACATGGCTTCCGCTTTCAGAGATCACATGACCCCGTGACGCGTACACAAAGTATAGTGCCATCTATGTTCATTGCAGGGAGGACAACTCCAAGGAACCCAGCAAATCTGTATTAATACTTAAGATGCAAGTTATATATTGATGTTTAATATAAGTTGTGAATTCATATTCTGGAGCAGATAGTCACAATGCCGTTATCATGGTTATAAAATTACACAATTGTGTCGAACGGGCACCTGGCCTGGTGGCTATTTAGAACTGTGGTGTTTCTGATACTGATGTTGGTAGTACTGGTGGCTGTGATGACGTGTGTGTGTACGTGTGTGTGTGTGTGTGGGGGGGGGGGGGGGGGGGGGGGGGTTCTTAATTTAAGTCGCTGAGATTTTTTATATGTCACTTTCAAATTCAACTTATGGAAAGAATCTTAAAAAACTGTCACTGTCTCACGAAACAGTACACGTGATTGTAAAACAGATCAATGAAATTAGCAGTATGACCCCCCCCCCCCCCCCCTCCGGATTTTTTATAGAAAACATTTTTCCTTGTGAAAGTTAACTTGAATAAGAATGAATAATCTTATTAAGGAAATAAGACGTTAAAAGATGGTACTTGTTGTTAACCTGTCTGGCGCTCAGCATTAAGGGGCTAAAACAAGGGCAGGTCGGCTCGGAGTCAGTATACTGTGTCTGAGTGGGGTATTCATGTTAAACTGCGGCATGGTATCTCAGTGAGCTAGCACTATAAGTTGGCATCAGTCCGGACTAGTACAAGCAGCCACACACACACACACATACACACACACACACACTCACACTCACACGTGCATGCACGTCGCTATATAAGTGCAATAATCTTGAACGCGACGTTAAAGACGTTAAACCCCCTTTCACCTCACCTCACCGTCAAATTAGAGCAAAGATACAATTTATAGCACAAGCCCTCTGTCACATCTTCTCGTCGTCGAGTTTGGGCGTGCGTTGATTATCATGGTGGTCATACACAATACTGACAGACAATTGTGACATGAAGGGAGTTTGATGTGCTGATTTCAGGTCTTGAAGGTTGATCGAATACTGAACAACTGATACCATCCTCCAAACTGTGGACACATTACCTCTTTTTTGTTCTCATTCACAGCATAACTTGTAATAATGTTAATATATGATTCATGTCTTGTCTATCAATTCAAGTGCTGTTATGTTGTATTTTTGTTCCAAGGGGTAAATGTTGCTTAATGGGCATTTACAGTCAACAACTGTTTTGAACAGTCAAATCACAGCGGGACAAGAGGAGTCAATATGACCTTGTCCAGGGATACGACTCAGTGTCTTGCATGATATGGCATCTTGAAATGGAAGATTTGAAAGATTAATATAAATAAGCGTTACAGACATACTGTATATCATGCTCCTGTCTCGATGTCAAAGATTATGGCTTTGTTCACGAGATACTCTGTATTGATGGGGAAGACCATATTGCGGCGAGAGGTTTTATTGAGGATGAAATTTATTTGCAAGCAGTTGGAGGCTGAGTTTTTTTTATTTAAACAAACGTCTGAGCAGTGTTTGTTTTCTTCATATACAATTTAAAAATAAAATGGGACTGGATGTCGGAATTGTTTTCGGACGTTCCACAACTACGAGTGAATCTTCATAATGTTGGAATATTGCTGAGAGCGGCGTTAAACAAGAAACGAGAGAGAAATTACGGATCACTGTTGTATTTAAAATGTCGACAACATGACGTGTTTCAGATTTGCGGGTGAAACTAACAGTAGGAACATTGTTGTGAAATATGCTCGTGAAAGATAACGTATACCTTTGCGAGGGAACCGGGCGTCCGCTATTCTGAGGCGCCGAAATTTGTTGTTTGTTATTGGTTGACCTCGACAGTCAGCTATACTGCAGCTATACTATATATCAGTCTAGACCGGACAATCCAATGACTGTCATCAATTGCACGCATGGTCATCGATCTACGCAATTGGGATCGATGACATGGATCAATCAAATCAGCGAGCCTGACCACCCGATTCCGTTAGTCGCCTTCTTACGACAAGCATAGTCACCTTCTAACGACAAACCATGGGTTGCTGTAGACCAATTCCAACGCCACACTCTGCAATATTCGAGCTATATGGCGGCGGTCTGTAAATAATCGAGTCTGGACCAGACAATCCAGTGATTGGACATCATGAGCATCGATCCATGGAATTGGGATAGAATGACATGCATCAACCAAGTCAGCAAGCCTGACGACCCGATCCCGTTAGTCGCCTCATTCGACAAGCACAGTACGACATGCACGGTTGGTGTAGGCCCATTCAAACCCGGATCTTCACTGGTATGAGAGCAAAGTCCTAAGCAGTCGGTTTATATACGATGACAAGCAATCAATAGTCATTCATTCATTCATTCACGCACGGGGGGCCCAGTCGTCTAAGGCGCCGCGATTCGCTGTGCAGAGTTGCGTCCCTTGGGCACGCCAGGAAACCTATGATTGTGGGTTCGAATCCCGGTTCGCACCGATTATGTTTCTAGGTTTGTCAGCACCATACCCGTGCTCGTGGGTTTCACCGAAGTGGTAAACGTCTGACCTGCATCACTTCGGGCTTTCCTCCCACATTAAGATGACACCGCGCCGTGATATAACTGGAATAATGTTAAAAAGCGGCGTTAAACCAACTCACTCACTCACTCCATGTAGGAACAGAGAAACACAGCGGCGTTACAGAACTGGAAGCAGCTCCTCAACAACAGAAGACTGACACCCTCCCTGGCTAGGAGTCGTGACACTGTACACCCTCCGTGGCTAGGAGTCGTGGCACTGTAGATAAATACAGGTGTATGTTCCATCCTATTCGCCTCTGAGCTGATATTGTCCTCATTGATCATATTAACAACGATTGTGCACGAAACAAATTGTATCAGGACATTTTTACGATTCTGAGAGGACATATTCTTCAATATCAATAACAAATTGGAAAGATATTTATCGGACATTTTGAATGCCTGTCCCCCCCCCCCCCCCCCCCCCCCCCCCCCCCCCACCCCCGCCCCTCTCTCTCTCTCCACCTACAACCAAATTGTTTTTTACACACTAGTGCAATTCATCTGAGTAATTGCATCTGCTTCACATGCGAACCTTCTACATTTATGAGTGCTAAGGGATGTCAGAAGTAGTTCATGTTCCGTTTGACAATATCTTGGCTTCTTTTGGATCTGTTGTGTAAGGAATAGTATATAATGTACGTTGGATTCTTGGAATGCTGAAACGTTCCATGGTGACATATTAAACTAGTCGGCATCCTGTATATATGCGCGATGTATATAAAATACATACACTAATGAATAAACATGTGCTGTAATGCACGTATAGCCTCATGCATTATGTATGTATGGATACAGCGGCGAAAGTAAGCCTGCCAACCAAGAAACACAGCAATATTACAGTGGGAGACACAAACAATCCCCTTGCATGCAGCAATATTACAGTGGGTGACAAACAATCCCCTTGCATGCAGCAATATTACAGTGGGTGACAAACAATCCCCTTGCATGCAGCAATGTTACAGTGGGAGACACAAATAATCCACTTGCATGCAGCAATATTACAGTGGGAGACACAAACAATCCCCTTGCATGCAGCAATATTACAGTGGGTGACAAACAATCCCCTTGCATGCAGCAATGTTACAGTGGGAGACACAAATAATCCACTTGCATGCAGCAATATTACAGTGGGAGACACAAACAATTCCCTTGCACGCAGCAATATTACAATGGGAGACACAAACAATCCACTTGCATCCTGCAATATTGCAGTGGGAGACACAACAATCCCCTTGCATGCAGCAATATTACAGTGGGCGACACAACAATCCCCTTGCATGCAGCAATGTTGCAGTGGGAGCCACAAACAATCCCCTTGCATGCAGCAATATTTCAGTGGGAGACACAAACAATCCCATTGCATGCAGCAATATTTCAGTGGGAGACACAAAAAATCCCATTGCATGCAGCAATATTTCAGTGGGAGACACAACAATCCCCTTGCATGCAGCAATATTTCAGTGAGAGACACAACAATCCCCTTGCATGCAGCAATATTACAGTGGGAGACACAACAATCCCCTTGCATGCAGCAATATTGCAGTGGGAGACACAAACAATCCCCTTGCATGCAGCAATATTGCAGTGGGAGACACAACAATCCCCTTGCATGCAGCAATATTGCAGTGGGAGACACAAACAATCCCCTTGCATGCAGCAATATTACAGTGGGAGACACAAACAATCCCCTTGCATGCAGCAGTTGTTTAGTCAGAGACACAAATAATGGACCTCAGTCCCTGCGGGGAAAGGAATCCTCGTGGTAGAAGACCCAGGTTCCACTCCCCACGGGTCACAACTGTGAAATCCATTCTTCATGTCGATGTGATATTGATGCGTTACTTCTGAATGCTGATCACAGGCCGACTCACTGAACAGGACACAGCGAAAGGAACCACCCCACCCATTTATGGTCAACACTACACGCGTGCAATCTATATGAAATCTCCATTTGGACCAACATACTAATGGACAATGTGACCAATATGAATAAGGAAATATGTGAATTCTAGTGCTGGCAATGAATTGTCCCTCATTTCCAAAAGAATCCTTCACACTTCGTGCGTCCAGATGTCGCTATTTAACATTTATATAGTCGTGCGTGAGTTTTTCTGAGAATGAGACAGAAACCGTTTACGACAGATCCATCACCTATATCTGATACAGAGACGCTGGATGAATATGAGTATGTTAATTGATGACGTTCGTTGGTGACATCTGGTCATGTTAACCAAGTAGAACAGAGCCTTTTTTATATGGTGTATTGTTTAACGTCATTATAACGTTTTATTTAACCTTGTGGGCGCGGATATTTATTTTATATTAAAATAGTTTTAGTTTGGGGGTAGGGTAGCGTGAATGTGGGTGGGTCTGCCAACCATCTCTGTATCCGTCAGTGTCGTCCTTGGCTGCGCGGCCGTCG